TTCCTGTGTCTGTCGCTTCGGGGAAATGTCACGCGATGAATACCAGAGTCCTGTTAGCCCGCTACAGCCCGGTTCACCGGAGTCCTGCTAGCCCAGTGCTACAGCATGGGTTCACTCGCTGATGACCGACACGTTCGATGCTGGGTCATGAATGCCTGTCCCTGTAAGTCTGTGCCACTTTGGGTTTACGACTAGTCATGTCAGCCCGGGCTCCTTATCATATGGATGCTAGCGACATCATCATATACGCGAGCCAAAAGGCGCAAACGGTCCCGGGCAAAAGTAAGGCGACACCCGTGGAAATACCGTGCGTGAGGCCGCAAAGTGATATGAGGTGTTACAGGCTAGATCGATGTGACATTGAGTCGGGGTCCTGACATGGAGGAAATTAACAAGTGGATGAGGGCTTATTTCTGTGTGGGGACTGATGACATTCATGGCGAGCGGTTTCTAGTGGCTTGGAAGAAATCTGTAAGCTGATGTGCTTTGGAGGCCTAGGGTGTGAGACTTGTATCTCTAATCGACGACGCTCAGTTAGATGGGAATGGTTGAAAAGAACACAGTCGGGAAGACCTTGGTGGGAGCTGACCATGGGGCTTGATGATCAGCCATCAGAGGTGTTTAATAGTACGGTGAAGATTGAGGTTGGCTCTGGATCCTCCATTTTGTTTTGGAAGGATTTGTGGATCAAGGGCTGTTCTGTGGTAGACATTGCACTTCTCATGTTGTCTAAAGTTCTCCTGACTGTCTAGAAATCCATAAATGTGCAATAAGGTCTACAAGACTATAGATGGGTCACAAACATTGCTCCGCTTGTCCTCCAGCCCGAAGAAGGGAAGCACAACGCTCTTTGGCATGCTATTTCATAACATGCATCAGTACACGTCTTTGCCGGTCAGTTTCTCTTGGCCATGGAATGCAAACTGGTGCTACTCGGCAATCTCGATGTATTTTTTTGCCAAAGGAGGGAGAGGTTTCCAGCTACACAATGCATCTAGAGATGTTGGGCACCCCTCAAATGCAAGATTTTTGTTTGGCTAGCCTTACAACATAGACTTTGGACCTTAGACAGAAGAGATAGGCATGGGTTGGAGAATGAAACTTCTCCATGTTTTGTATGTCAAGGGGACGAGGATAATACAAAACACATCATCATGGAGTGTGTTGTCCCGAGAAAGATGTGGCAGAGATGTCTTACTGAGTCCCATGTCTCTGTCGGGTGTCGTTCACCAGGATACTTTGGCAGAATGGTGGTTCTCAACTAAGAAGAGCTTTGTGAAGGAGGACAAGGGAGATTTTGATTCGCTAGTTATCCCGATTATTGGAGGAAACCAAGAAATTCTCAGGTCTTTGTGTGGCCGCATCTACCGGTGTCAGACTTGGTGGAGCTCATTTTCAATGATTGGGAGGATTAGAGAAGGGCGGTTGTTGGTGGATTCGATAGTTTTGTGAGAAGTTAGTCTCAGGATAGGGTGTGGCTGTCCTACTTGTGTGTTAGATGCCCTCATCTTTCACCAAGTATCTTGTAATCTATATTCTGCCTTCTATAAGAAATATGATACATTTTTTGCGTGCTCTAAAAAAACTGATTGAAGGGCTTATCACTGGAATTATTACAGATTTTAGGAGTAACTTGAAAAGATGTGATTTTTATTGGGAGAACAGTGGTGTGTAAGCACTGAACCCTGACTACCACCTAATCAAATATAGCAGGAGGAGAAAGTAATATAATCAAATCTACAATTTAGCATATTTCC